TAAGTCTGGTAGTAGAGAATGCAAAAAAATAGCAAAACCCGAAAGACGTGTAGTAGTAGATATGACTAGGGATCGTAAGAATCGGGAAGAACATAAAGATAAACGAAGAGAATTAGAAAGGAGAAAAGAAGAAAAAATTCGTACTAAAGAGGAAACTAGAAGAGATGATAGTAGAAAAGATGATAGACAAATACGGAAACCAAATGATAGACACAGAGAAGATTCCCGAAAGGAAGATAGTAAAAGGCGATTAGAAGATGATAAACGTAGAGATTCTATTAAAAAAGATGAATCACGTAAAAAAGAACAAGATAAAAGGTAAGTTAAATGCAAAATATCTAAATTTCAATACAGAATTTCAAACTTTTAATTGTAGAGAAGAAGAACGAAGACGAGATTCAGATCATTATAATTCCAGATCCCGTAATGAATGCAAATCATTAGATAAAACTGATAAATCTCGACGCGAAAGTCGCGATAGATTAGAAAATCGAGAACGACAAAATAGTCGAGATCGACATATAAGTGGTGATAGACATATTAGTCGAGATCGTCACATTAGTCGAGACCGACATATTAGTCGAGATAGACATATTAGTCGAGATCGTCATACCAGTAAAGATCGACCAACTAGTCGCGATCGTCGTAGTCGAGATAGACCTGTCAGCAAAGATCGACATAGTCGTGATAAAAGAGACAGCAAAGAGCATTATACTGATCGCGATCGGATTAGAGATAATAGAAATAGTCGTGATCATAATGATCGGCGAGATAGTCGAAATCATGACAGAATTAGGGAACGTTCAAGAAGTACAAGAAGATCTCGCAGTCCTATTAGGAATAGATTGGATAGAGATCGAAATGATCGATACAAACGATCTAGATCACTTTCTCGAAGTAGAAGAGATAGAGATAAACATAGAGATAGAGATCATGATAGAGATAAAGAAAAAACTACTAAAAGAGAACGTAATGATAAATTTAAAGATTCTTTATCAGAAGGACTTAAAATAGAACATTCAGAAACATCAAGCGAAGAGGATATCAAAGATATTGATATTGAAGAAGAGGAAGATGAAGAAGTTATTATCGAACGTAGAAGAAAACAAAGGGAGGAACTTCTAAAGGTGTATTGACTTTAATTATTAATTAATAATTAATTAATTATTTTTATTTAATATTTCAAACTAATAAAAATAAATTTTTATTTTTATTCAGAGGTTAGGTGGTCCAAATGAAGATTCAAATATGTCTACTGATATTAATATTGTTCCTGCAACTCCACCTTCTGAAAGTCAATCAAACGTATCACAGAAATCGATAGAAGTTCCATCTAATAATAATGAATCTACTTCAGAAAGTCATACTCCACCATTGCCCGAGAAACCAAAATCACCACAAATTAAAAAAAGAAAATCTAGATTTGAAGATGTTCTACCAGAAGAAATTAATAAAAATGAAGATATAAAATCAACAGAAAAAATTAAACAAGAAGAAAAACAAAATTCGAAAAAATCGAATGAGTGGGACATGTTTGCTGAGGCAGATAATATTGGTGATTTTAATGTATGTTTTTTAATTTCCTTTTTTTTTTTTTTTTTTTTTTTTTTTTAATTANTTTTTTTTTTTTTTTTTCACTTATTTCTTCAAATGTAATAAACATGTTAAACATTAATAATAAAATTTACAGAGTCCTACAGTTGAAGGAAAACGACAAGGTGGACCAGATAATCCAAGTTTAACAGACAATTGGGACGATGCAGAAGGATATTATCGGTAATTTTTATAATATTTTTATAATATTTTTATAATATATTCATAATTTTTTATATATTTTTATATATTTTTGAAAATTTAAGATATTATTTCTTAATTTTAGAGTACGTGTGGGAGAAACATTAGATTCTCGATATGTTGTTTATGGATATACTGGTCAAGGTGTATTTAGTAATGTTGTAAGAGCTAGAGACACTGCTAGAGGCAATTTAGATGTTGCTGTAAAAATAATAAGAAACAATGAAATAATGTAAATAAATTATTACATTTTTAAAATATTAAAAATCTTTATGTATTCATAGTTTTTTTTTCTTTCTTTTAGGCACAAAACTGGCCTTAAAGAATTAGAAATTCTTCGAAAACTTAATGACGCCGATCCTGAAGATAGATTTCATTGTTTAAGATTATTTAGACATTTCTTTCATAAGAATCATTTATGTATGGTTTTTGAACCTCTAGCCATGAATTTAAGAGAGGTAAATATATACATATATTGTTCATTATGTTACACATTGATTTATTATATATTATCATTCATTCATAAACAAATTTATCGAGGTTTTAAAAAAATATGGAAAAGACGTTGGTTTACATGTTAAAGCGGTAAGATCGTATACGCAGCAACTTTTCCTTGCACTCAAATTATTAAAACGTGCAAATATTTTGCATGCTGACATCAAACCAGATAACATTCTAGTCAGTGAAAGCAAGCTAGTATTGAAATTATGCGATTTTGGATCAGCATCTCATGCTCATGAGAATGAGATAACACCATATTTGGTATCAAGATTTTATCGAGCACCTGAAATTAGTAAGTAATTGATATTTTTTTTTTTTTTTTTGGTAATAATTTATATATTTATGTATTTTATTAATCTCGTATTGTTTATAATTTTATATTTTAATTAATTTTTCTAAATTTAAATTTCACATTATAACTCAAAAAATTGATTTTTATTTATTTGTAGCTTATTTATTAAATTAGTTTTTAATCATGTTCTTTAAAATATAATATAAACAATTTGAAAATACAGTACAATTTGAATATTTAGAATTGTATATTAACGTCAAAATTTTGTATGAGTACAGTATGTTAATTATTATTGCATTATTTTTTGAAAATTTAATAATGTTTCTATATGGCAGCTCAAATACATTGATCAAACCTATATTGGGGAGATCTTCATAAAGATTTAATAACAATTACTATGTGTCATATAATTAACATTGACATTTTCTAGTTCTTGGTATACCATATGATTTCGGCATTGATATGTGGTCTGTGGGATGTACCATATATGAATTATATACGGGAAAAATAATGTTCTCGGGCAAAACAAACAACCAAATGTTGAAATTCTTCATGGACTTGAAAGGCAAAATGCCTAATAAGCTGATTAGGAAAGGCTCATTCAAGGATCTACATTTTGACTCTAACTGCAATTTCCTATATCATGAAGTTGATAAAGTCACCGAGCGGGTAAGTCGTCTTTCTACTGTTCTTTCCAATCTTGATGTTTTGCTGTGTGGTAAGTGATTTAATGATAAGATGTATATTAATAAAAAAAAATATATAAATGATAATATTGCTAATATATAATAAATTTTTAGGAAAAAGTTGTAGTTATGTCTACTTTATCTGCTACTCGTGATCTAAGCGCAGAATTAGGTGGAAATTCTTTGCCACCAGAACAAAGTCGAAAAGTTGGACAACTTAAGGATCTTTTGGAACGAACATTGATGTTGGATGCAGGAAAAAGAATCACTGTGAATCATGCCCTGGCACATCCATTTATACAAGAAAAAATTTAGGTAACCCTGTCCGGGGTCCATCCACATCGGAGAATTTGACGTAATTTTGCAGAAAAATGTTTGAAACGACACCGCTAACGATTCGTTGTATATCATAAAAGCATTACTAACATAATGCGGTGTCTATTTATATCGAATGTCCTATATCCGTTTCAGCAGAAAGAGGCGGTGCAAAATTTTACATTTCACTTACTCCATCTGAATAAAACAGGAAAACATATATAATGGGACGAAAAATTATTTGAATCACATATTGTACTCTATCAATCTGAACTGTATTATTTAATTAATGATAACTATTGCAGGTCAATAGAGTGCAATATCTTTATATTAATTAAAAACCACTACATAAAAATGATGCATAAAATATTGGAGTTCGCCATTGATGCATTTATCGACGATTGTAAAAACAACGTGTTTGTATTCTACAGTGTACTGTATCAGAGAGCGTAATGATTTTTTCGTGTAAATTTGTTTGAAATGAAAACCACGATTTGGTTTATTTCTTTTCTTTCTTTGTGCACAGCAGTTATAAAGTAATAAATCCAACACGATGAATACTAGAGGAAGAGGCTTGATGATATATGCGGTATACAATATTCTTCCGTGGACGAAAATGAAAAACTGGGAAAAGTGACCGCCTCTTTCAGCATGAACTGGCCATCGATACTTAGCATAATGGTGGTACATAATATTTTTCTTTTCATCAATTTTTCGAATTTTAAAGCGCGATTTTCTTTACAAATAACAATTCATAATAAATTATTATATTACAAATAAATGATAATGCGTTAATTCGCGATGAAAAATCCCGTTTGCGAAATTGTAAAACCTCTACGAATTTAATCGTATAAATCACGAACTTTTTATTCTTCTGCCATTGTGCCATTGTGCCATTGTGCAAATCGGCATCAAAGTTTAATTAACAAGGAAACTTGTACTAAAAAAAAAAACAAATTGTATAGTAATTAGGTTGTTGAAATAAAACGACGCATACTTATCAGAATGAGAAACAAGCCCTGTATTTTATATTTTCAATCTTAATCGCGTGCTATTTTCATACAAAAAATATGCACGTATCAACAATTATCGTATATAATATAATAGAAGAAAAAAAAATATCAATTGTAATCATTTTGTTATTTCGTAATAAAACGATAGGTAGACAAGTTGTTATTTCAGGAAATGATGAAAAATATATTGTTAACACTTCATCATGAATTGTTAGTATCACAAATAATTATTTTCAAATCTGACAATTTGCATTTATTTAACATTGATGTAAAAAAATATGAAAAAATAATATATATATATATATATATATATATATATTTGCATTAAAAAAGAAATAGAAATATTGAATTGCATTACATAGAATGAAAATTGTTTAATGCTTTATATTAATACACAAATATAAAAACATATTTATTTCAACAGATTTATATAGTTTGCGATTTTAGCTTTGTAAATTTTTATTTTTATCCTTCATTTTATATTGCATTATTTATTTATAATTTACGACAGAACGTCAATGCTGTTTGAATGGTTCATGGTATATGTAATTTTTACATGACAATATTGTACGAGATTGCTTATGTTTCAGATATGAGTCTTCGATTCAAAGCATCGATAAGTGAGGGTGGACCTTTCAAGGGCTTTTAACGCTGATCCCGTTGCAAGGTATTCATGGGGGACTACCTTATGGGATATTTAGTATATCTATTAATCATTAAGCTATATAACATTAGAAATCAAAACGTGCATAATTGTACCGTAAAATAAAATCAATTTGTTCTAATTATCATCTTTTATGTCTTATACTGTTTAGAAAATCAATTTTATTTTACTATATTATATTTAAATTATATGATATAAATTATTAAATCGATATTTTAATACATAACTATAAAATTATATTCTTAATAATGATGAATAATATGTTAGATATTAAAATTATATAAAATATTTTAATTTTTTCTGATAATAAGAGACATTGAAAAAATTTTGCTAAATTCAAATAATAAAAAGGGGAAACTAGATGTTATGGATACATTTCAATACAGAAATAAAATGAATACACAAAAAAACTTAAACTAATTCATATTTTTCTAATTGGCTATTTGGTAATGTTTCACTTGTAGCCCTCCCTGTGTGGAGGGGAGGCAATGGAAGAGATGAAGGAAAACGGGGCGAGATTCTCTCGACCGCAAGCAGCTTGACAACTGTATTAAATTGCCTATCACAGAGAAGATCACCAAATATGTAATATAGATTTATATCAACAGGAAGGTTTGTCATGACATTTCATTGAAATTAATGAAATTGTAAGTATTTAAAGGTAAAGTATTTATACATAAAACATGATTCAATTTTTTGAAATTATCAAAAGTATAGATAATATTAAATAAGCATGATAATAATATTTACGATTTTCAGCTTTTAAATTACTAAAAAAGAAAAATAATTTCAATGCAACAAATAAGTTATTTATAAAATATATAAAATAATATGGAATAAATCACATATTTTTATGTCAGTTAAATTTATTTCACATTATATTTTAATAAAAATCATCTTACATTTGCACATATATATATATATGTATGCATCGGAGAATTTATATATATTTATAATTTATATTATATTATATTATATATATATAAATTTTCATTATATTTTTTATTATATAGTAGATTTCATTATATAGTATCGTTACTACTTGTCACATATAAATGTGTATTATAATATAAATATAAATTTAAAATTATTTTCTATACATTGTGAATTTTATTTAAAATTTTCATGTAAATAACTTAATAAATAGATATAATTTTTCGAAAGTTTGTATCTATTTTGATTTATAAACCTTTAATATTCTTAAAAACAAGAACATCAGGATTTATTATTGATCAATATTGATTGATATTATGATCGAAATTAAATCTTATTCAAAAAAAAAGAAATATAGATTTTTATATACATCATATGTATGAAATTCATGCATTTAACAAGGCCTCTTTTTGAAGATCTTTTTATGATTTTCTATATATTTGATAATTTGATAATTTTTAATCTCGTTCGGGATAATACTGAACTAATACTTTAGCTAATTTTTGTGCCAATTCCATTGTTGATGCACATAAAACTCTTCTGCTCATGACGTCAAACGGTCCACCTAAAAATAAAATACACGTAAACAGAGAGAGAGAGAGAGAGAGAGAAATAGAACTATAAGTTTTAATACATTATTTAAATTAAATAATATTTAATATTAAAAATAAACGAAGATTTTCTTAATGAATATTCTAATTTCAAAAAAATATTTTAGAATATTTTAAAAAATATAGATTATTAATTTACAAATATTATAAAAATTACCTGCTGGATCTATGCATACTCCACCAGCTTCTCTTACAATGATATCACCAGCTGCAACATCCCATGCATGAATACCAAATTCGAAAGAAATATCCGCTCCACCCAAAGCAACCATACACATGTTTAAAGCCGCAGATCCCAGAGCTCGTATCCTAATATAACAGATATTTAAAACAAAATTATAAATTTAAATTAAAAAAAAAAAAAAAAATGTACTAACTAAAAGTGTATTTTACCCATGAACATGTGGAGCAAGAATATTCGCATTTTCCAATACAATTTTCATTTTTTCTGGATCTCTACTTGTACCCATTTCCATCATTATAAGAGCTTTACGTAATTCTACAAAAAAATATTTAATTTATTAATAATTTTGAAAATACATTTATATATTTTTACAACAAAATAAATATAAATTAAAATAAATAAATATATTTAAAATAATTTAAAATAATCAAACATATTCTTAATTATTCTTCTTTTAAGACATAAGATTACAAATGATTTCTAAATATTTATAATACAAGACAAGTGAATTTTTATACCTTTCTGTCCAGAGACATGAAGAGGACGTCCATTTAGGAATGCACCTTGTCCTTTACGGGCAGTAAAAAGTTGATCCAAAATTGGATTATAAATTATACCAATTTCAATAATTTTATTAATAAGCAATGCGATTGATATACAAGTATGGGGCAAACCATGCACGAAATTCATCGTGCCATCGATTGGATCAATGATCCATGTCGGTGCTTCTGTAAGTTCTATTTTATTACCAAGTGAACTAGTTTCTTCGCCAATAAATCTGTAAATATATACATCCTTTCTATTATTCTATAATTAATTCTATAATATTTCTATAATTTACGATATTTATAATAACAATCGATATTTTCATTATTATTAAATTTTTTTGTAAGTATTATCAACTATAAAATTTTGTAATATTTTTTTGATTTTCTAAAGAAGTTACAAAAACATTTATAATTTAAAATTTTTAATTTTCATAAAATTAAATGCAAATATTTATTTTTGTTTTCTTTCTAATTTTTTAAATTAAAAATAACTCATTTTGAATAAAATTGTATATTCTTATTCTTTAAAAAATTAAAGAAACTATTTTATTTAGAATAGAAAGTTTTGTGTATCTAACGAGGCTTTTCGTGACTGACGATATGATCTAAACATATAACGAGCTTAAAAAGAATATAGCATATTGAATGATTCAGTACACAAGGTCAAATATAAATCTATTGAATTTATTACTCTCTTTGATTTAATGGAAAATAAATTCGAAATAAAAAAAATTAATCGAAAATTTAGTATTGATTACTTGTGATGTTGTTTATGGATATTCCTTTCTTTCTTTTTCTTTTTTCTCTTTTTTTTAGTTAAAAATACATAGTGTGTCACTGTAATCAAATAATTACAGTTTTATTACAAAATTATAAATGATAAAATAAATAAGCAATAAAATCCTATATATAATAAATAGATCTATAAGCTATGAAATTCTATGTAACGAAATGCTTTCTAATTATGAAATGATTGAAATAAAGCAAGAAATGAAAACTCGATTAACCAACTTAAATGAAAACCAAAAAGAGAAGGCCAATTAGAAGGAAATAAAAATGCATTTTATAATACAAAGTTTTTCTTTTATAACTCTTTTCAATATTTACTTCTAATTAAAATTATATATATATATATATATATCAGTTATAATAATAATTATCTCAAAAAATAATAAAAAAAAACCTAATGGGAAGAATTGATTATAAAGAAATAGAAATTCAAAAGAAGACTATAAAATTGGTATGAGGGATGCGAATTTAAGAATAAAATTAAAAAAAATTTATATATTTTAATTATCGAAAATTTTTTTTATTAATGGATAGGTTGAAAATGAAAATTATTATTGAATAATCATTTTAAGCGAAATTAGTTCTCTATTGAAAAATAAATTCAATAATAATTTTCTAAACTAGTTAATTAAGATCTCATTATATATATATATATTATTAATATAAATCAAATAAAATATCAAAAGGATATTAATATAATATTTGAAATTATTTTAATATCATCATAATAATATCACATCGATAATGTTTTTATCGATTTTGAATAAATATTAGAATAGAACAATTACAAAAGAAAAAAGATTTTATGAATTTACAAATATTAAATAAATTATTTTATTACATAATTTATTAATCTTTTACTAAAGTCTTAAATCATTAATCTTAATCTTAATCTTTAAATCGTTATCTGAAAATTATGAAATTGATATATTGATATATTTTTTATTTCATTATATTAAAATCAAAATTGTTATTAATATTAAATCAATATAAATTATTTATCATTTTAATATATTTTGCTAAAATAGTATATATTTATTAAACGTTTATATTAAACAACTTTTGATCAAGTAAATTCTATATCAAGTTATTCGGTCATTCATATAAACTAAATTTCGATTGGACTGCAATTTGTTTTATAAGTTATATAATATAAATCTATTTTATAGACAATATAAAAGAAAATTGCTAGAAACCTTATTATTATTATTATTATTATTCTTTATAATATAATTTTTTATATATAATATATTTATAATATATAAATTTTAAATTATAAGTTATTTGTAATATAATTACAAATAATTATATTTAAACTATTGTATAATATATTGTATATAATTTTTATAAAAAAAAATTTAGATATTAATCTCGAATTAAATTTGATACATATATTTTAAAAATAAATATATTAATGTAATATTAGAATATAAAGAATTAAATGATTAAATAATTAAATTTAAGAATTTAAAAAATATTAATATTTATATTATAATTTGTATAATTTATATCATAAACATTTTTCAATATTAGTTCGAATAATTTGAAATATATATAATATTATATAACACATATATATTATATATAAAAATATTTATTTATTTAATTTTTTTTTAAAAAGAATGAATAAAAGATGAAATTATTAAATATTTTATATATTATAAAACATACTTATGATCTGGAAATTTAGAAGATATTCCTTCCATTAATAATTTCTCGACATTTTGATCCCATTCGGTAACAAGATCGACTTCACAGGATTTTGTCATTGCATCCTTAGGTTGATTAATTTTTTCCCTCACAATCTATAAGATTCACAATTGAAATATAATTATAATTTTTGCATCAAGTAGATTTAATTAATATTAATAACAAAATAATATTAGATAAATAACAATTGTTATAAAAGTTTATTTATTTATTATAAGATAATTATATTAATTATATTAATTATTATATCAATACGTGTTATCTATTATATATTTGAAAAAATTCTATATAAATAATTATCTAAGAATAAATTCATTTAATTCATTCATTTTTATAAAAAAAATTTGTATTACAAAAATGTTAGATATTTAAAAAAACTTTATTAAATAATTAAGAAAAAAATTTTTGAAAAATTTGATTTATCATTATTTATCATTATTTATTTTTATCATTATTTTATGATATTATTATTTATAATAGCTAAATTATTCAATTCTTAATAATATATTTTATATATTAGAAATTAATTTAATATTCAAATTTTTACATTGTATAAATTAATTTTTTTGAATTATGATCTATAAATATTAGAAAATAAATTATTATAATTATAGGTTATGTATAGAAATGTATAGAATATATAGAAAATTATGTATTGAATTATCATTATATGTAGTGTATAATAAAAATTTTATCAGTTCAATAAATTTCCTTGAAAATAAATATATTTATATCTATAAATCAATGATATTATCTATTATATTTTTCCTAGATAAAAAAAATATATAATACTTTATGTAAAATATTCATTTACATTAGAAAAATAGATTAAAACAATACATTGATTAGTTTCACATCATAATTAACATTACATTGAATATGAAGTGATTTTAAAACAATTATTAAAATTATTATTTATTTATTATACAATATTTTGCATTCTTGAATACTGCAAAAAAATACTGTAAAACAGATATATTTATTAAATAAAAATTTAATTGAAATATAAAAATCAATAAAGCTTGTTAGCAAGATTCAAAACATAAAATATAATAAAATATAAATTGCTCTAATATTTGTTTAATTTCATCAAAAAAAAAAAAGATCACTTACCGAACCAGCTTCTAATACTAATCGAAGAACGACTGTGTAATATTTATCAGTATTCGACATGATTTGTCAAAATATTTGAAATATGTAATAAAAAAAAAAAGCACAAATTTACACTTCAATCATAAACCGGTGCAAACTATATCGTCATATACACAATGACAATGGTTAGAGTCTAACTGTAACTGACGTAACCTTAACATCTTGTCAGCTGCTTCTAAAAACTATTTTTCCGTTACGGAATTACAAATAAAAGCGACAGTGGCGCCCTGGACTTTGCAGAAATATTTATTCATAATATATAATAATTCCTTCATAATTAAAATATTTAAAATATAGAATTAGATAAGGGAAATAGATAAAGTATCAGATTAATTTTTAATTATTATTTTGTTTGATTTTAAATCTAAAAAGTTGATAATATGTTTAAAAGATGAAATTTAAAAAAATAATTAGAAGAAGAATTATTATTTGATCGTTTATTACATTTAATAATTAAATTCCATGAATTATGATGCAAAATAATTATGATTATATATGAAAAAATAAACAAAATATAATATAAACAATATAACAAATTTGTTCATACTTTATTTATTTTTAAATGATTTTTAAAATTTTATAAATTTTATAATTTTTTATTTACAAAATGTGTTTTGCAGACAGAGTACAAAATTTTTCTTCGATATTAGCAATATAAATTTAAATTTTATATTTTCTCAATTGAACGAAATGATTTGAAAGAAAAAATTGAATATACATGAAAAAATGAAAAGAATGAATTAATAGAATAATTTCATATAAATAATAATAATTATGAGTTTTTTCTTGTTATTTACGGGCGACTTTATATGTATTTATTTGCAAATTTAATGAAATCTAGGTTAAAAAATGTATATGAAGTAGATAAATAATGGCAGATAAATAATAGAAAAGATTTACTTATTCTTTAACATGAATATATTTACATTTCAATTTTGTATTATTTTGTATAATTTATATATATATATANAGTTACTTTGTTCCGGAATGATATGTATGTGACATGCCTTTATTAAAAGGCAACTTCTCTATTAGATACAATATAACTCACTTTAGATACAATGTAACAATTATAAAACCAGCCTTCTAAAAAATTACAGAAAATGCAAACTTTCTTTTTATAAAGTGCGTTAATAATCGTGCGTATATTTAAATTTTCTATTTCATGTCATAAAAAAATTTTTTTTAAATTAAATAATTTGTTTTTATATTTTCATAATTTTTTTTTTTAAATATATTTCACATATTCTTAAAAATTAAAAATTAAGGATTGAATTGATGAACTAACTAAAAATCTTATTTCTAATAGAATTACAGATCTTTTTTTACAATATTTTTTTAAATATGACATGAATTGCAATACTTTCATAATTCCACTTTTACTTTCAATTGTAGATAAATTTTTTTGTAAAAAAACTAATAATTTTGAAATAAAAATAATTAAAACGTATATGAATATTACAGGCATTTAAAATTTTAAAAAATAAGTTTATGAGATCTAAAAATGATTTACAAGTGGTTATAATTTAAAAAAAATTTTTAAAGATAAACTGAATTTTTATATTATAATATTTTTTAATAATTTGGAATATTAATATAATATATAATTAAAATTTATGTTTTTGTAAAATTTTCAAATTTTCAAGTTACTTCATTATTTGTAAAAATGAAGAGAAATTATTTAAAATTATTTAAAAAATTATGCATCATAGAGCATATTACAAAGTAATTGTTTCTTACACATCTTTCGATTTTTAATATGCTTTTATATTTATAAAATATTGCTGCTAGAAAATCGACCAGTATGCAACAATTAACATACAATTATAATTGATTTTTGGAAAAATTTTAAATAGATTTAGCATAATTTCAACTCTTTAATAAATATTCTAAAATATTTTATAACTTCATGATTAACCTTTTTTTTATAGTTATGTAAAATTTATAATATTATTTTAACATCCAGTTGTATTTTAAACTAATAAAAAAATAATAATTGAATCTTTTATATAAATTTTTCATTTTTAAATAATACAAATGATAATTTATTAAACTATCTTTCAAATGAACAATATATATATCGATGAAATTCAGTTAAAAATAATATTGGTACAATATTTATACAACTATATAATAATTCATTATGAAATAATTCATAAATAATACTATAAATAATTATTAATAAAAAAAAAAGATCCTAACATATAAAATAAATATCTTATTCTTAGAAATTGTTTAAATTATTTTCTTATTAATAAAAATTTTTTCTTTTTTTTCTTGATAAATTATACATTTCATTAAATTTTAATATGTGTTTCTCATATTTACTTTTTGCAAGAATTATAAATTAAAAGTCATATATCAATTATTTATCGATCATTGGAAATGTATTATCATTTATTTCTAAACTACTATGTTCTCATTGAAAATTGCTACATTGATTTAAATTTGATTTAAATTTGTGGCCTTAACTCGAAAAGAGTATTGACAATGTTTTCATCAGCTAATGTTGATATATCGCCGACATTTCTATCTCCTGCTGCGATTTTTCTAAGTACACGTCTCATAATTTTTCCTGATCGAGTTTTTGGTAATCCTGGAGCAAGTTGAATAATATCCGGTTGAGCAAAAGGACCGATTTGTTCTCGTACTATTGATATATTCAAATTATTAATTTTATTAATTTCAATTAATAAATTTAATTACTAATTTTATAATAAATACATAATATATTACATTTATAATTTATATATTGCATATAAAAAAATTTTATTAAAAATTTACGAAATTTCAGAATAAAGATTTTTTAAATCATGTATTTATTTATATTTATATATTTTATTATATATTTATAATTACCTTTATTTTTGAGATCATTTTGAAGTTTTTTGTCAAATTTAACACCTTCATTAGGAGTAATAAAACAATAAAGACATTGTCCTTTTATAGGATGAGGTTTACTAACTGCTGCAGCTTCAGCTACTGAAGAATGTTCCGTTAATATATTTTCTACTTCTGCTGTAGACATAAGATGACCAGAAACATTTAACATGTCATCAATACGACCCGTTATCCAGAAATAACCATCTGCATCACGTCTGGCACCTGAAATTAGAAAAAATGTACTCTTATTTATGTATAGAAAAAAAATATATAGAATGTAAAACTAAAATCCAATATAAAACCCATATGTGAGATATTAATTTCAGAAAAAAAGAAAGAATAATTCTTTACATTCTATGAGGAAGGAAAATGAAACTATTTAAATTCACATTAAAAAATTGAAAAGGAGAAATATGCATATGTTAAATTTCAACTGTTTTTGTTTAAAATGGCCACAACCATAGTTCAATTTATATTTTCATTAAAAAATTTTCCGTAGTAATCATGTATTTTCGTCAACTATATTAGAATCTTTCCAATCTTTCTTCCTTCATAAAAATTCATATCTTAACAGATTTTAAATAAATATTATATATAAACAAATTTGAAAGAATATATAAAATGCCTATTCAGAAGGTTAAAGCACGTCAAATTTTTAACTCTAGAGGTGATCCAACTTTAGAAGTAGATGTAATTACAGACGTTGGATTATTAAGATCTTCGGTGCCATCTGTACTAGTACCAAATCCTAATCAAGCACAAGAATTAAGAGATGGAAACGAAGCCATGTATCATGGACGTTCAGTATTCAGAGCCGTTGATGTGGTCAATAACATAATCGCACCGCAACTTTTGAAATCGAAATTGGAAGCTTGTCAACAAACAGAAATAGACAGTTTATTAAATCGTTTAGATGGTACTGAGAATAAATCAAAATTAGGCGCGAATGCAATTCTTGGTGTCTCTATAGCTTGTTGTAAAGCTGGTGCTGCGAAAAAAGGACTTCCAGTTTATAGGTAATTTTTATAGAATCTTATAAAAAATTAAATTGCATAATCAACTTTAAAATATATTCATATCTTAATTTTTCGGATGATATAGATATATTGCAGAATTGGCTGAAAATGGAGATCTTTATGTACCCGTTCCTAGTTTTAATATGATTAGTGGAGGTAGACATGCTAATAATACATTACCATGTCAAGAATTTATGATTATACCTATAGGTATTCTTATTTTTTTAAAATTAAATATATTTTAATATATTTAAATATATATATTTGTAAAACCATAGCCAAGCTTCAATATTAAAGAATAAATTATTTTAAAATTTCGATACTAATATAAAGATTAATATTAATATAAAGATATAATTATATATTTTTATCTAAATGCCTATTTTTCTTCCCTTATATATTTATATATTTATATATATAATATGATATATATTTATATATATATTATATTTTATAAATATATTAGGAGCTGAAAGTTTTGCTGATGCTATGAAAATGGGTATGGAAGTGTATAGAGTACTCGAACAAAAGATTGCGACTGCTCAAGAAATTCAATTACCTCTTCCAGTTAGCGATGAAGGTGCATTTACACCTCTAGAAATTGAGGAAGATAGAGAAGCTTTATTATTGTTAGATGAATCTATTAAAGATGCAGGTTACGAGGGAAGAATTAAAATTTCGTTGGATATGGCAGCCAGTGCTTTTTATAAAGAAGGTTTAGTTAAAAATTAAAATTTATAAAATATATATTACAATATTTTATATTTTATATATTAATAATAATTTAATAACATTTAATAGAATTTTGTATATATTTAAAAAATAAAAAAATTATTTTAAGAATTAAATATCTAATGACATTTATAAATATATCTTTTTTCTACTAGGAGGATACGATTTAGCATTTAAAACAGAAGAATCTGATCCTGACGAATATATGGAGGCAGAAGCATTAAAAGATCATTACTTAGAGTATTTTACAGAATTTCCATCTGTAGTCTCAATTGAAGATCCATTCGATCAAGAAGACTGGGAAGGTTGGCTTACTTTAGCTGATCAAGATATGCAAATCGTTGCTGATGATTTAACTGCAATGAATATCGACAGAATTGAAGAAGCAATTGAAAGACAAATGGCCAATTCTCTTATATTGAGATTATCACAAATTGGAACTGTGACTGAGACAATCAATTGCGCAAAAATAGCCAGGATCAGTAATTGGGGATATATTGTAACAGCTTGTGAAGGAGAAACAGAAGATAATTTTGTAGCTGATTTAGCTGTAGGATTATCTGCTGGGCAATTTAAAGCTGGAGCACCTTGTAGAAGCGAAAGAACTGCCAAATATAATCAAATATTAAGGATTGAAGAGGAACTAGGAAAAGATGCGAAATATGCTGGTCTCAATTTCAGAAATCCTTTAGCTAAATAATTTTTTGTTCCATATTAATTTTTATTCATCTGAATTTAAAATTAAAACTCACCATCTCCAGTACAATAGTATCCATAAAATCTATCAAAATATGTGTTTTGAAAACGTTGATGATTTCCATAAAGAGATCGCATCATTCCCGGCCAAGGTTGACGAAAGACAAGATATCCCTCACCTTCACCTTCGATTAATTGACCATCTTCATCCAGAATTTCTGGCAAAACGCCAAAGAATGGGAATGTCTAGCAAGAATAATATTAAATGGATTAATTATATAATTTATCAAGGTTTGATAACAAGAAATTCAAGATACAAACTTACTGCAGAACCTGGTTTCATTGGCGTAGCACCAGGAAGAGGGGTGATTACATGGCCTCCAGTTTCTGTTTGCCAAAACGTGTCTGATATACTGCATCTACTATTACCAATAAGATTGTAAAACCATAACCAAGCTTCAGTATTTATTGGCTCTCCAACCGAACCTAAAACCTAAAAAAATAAATTATTTTAAAATTTCGATACTATAAAGATTATATTCTATATAATATATATTCTTATAAATGCCTATTTTTCTTCCTCTTTTTTTTTTTTTTTTAATTCAAATTTACCTTTAAAAAGGATAAATCATGTTTTTTCACCAAATCATCTCCAAATTTCATTAATGATCTAATTGCAGTCGGCGCAGTATAAAATTGTGTAACTTTGTACTTTTCGATAATTGTCCAGAATCGATCATTTTTTGGATAAAATGGTGTTCCTTCAAACTAAAAATCATAAATTTATTATTATCAACTTATTATTGCAATATGAATAATTATATTAATTTTCAATCGAAAAAAATCATTAAACAATTACAATAATGGAAGTAGCTCCATTTGCCAGTGGACCATATACAACATAAGTATGACCAGTGATCCAACCAATATCAGCTGTGCACCAATATACATCGCCTGGGTGATAATCAAACACATATTTAAACGTTGTGGCTGCATAAATTAAATATCCAGCAGTGGTATGAAGGACACCTTTTGGTTTTCCTGTGGAACCACTATAAAGAAAAACAATACAAAATTATACATATACGAGGTATATTATACTTTACATACACACACGCATGCGCATATATATATATATATATATATATATATATACCGTTTATGTTTAACAAACATTTTTCAAGGATTTTCGATAATATAATAAAAAAATGTTTGAAACAAAACTTTCAATTTCTGATCAATATATGTTTACTTAAACATTAAAAATTTTCAAAAAATTTATTTATATAAAAACCTATTTACTTATATTTAATTATGTGATTTGATTTAATAAGAAATATTAAATAATTTTTCATTAATATTATAGTTATATTGATCAAATCTAAATTTGTATCATTATCTCAATATAATAGTAAATCATTGAATTTATAGTACTGGAATATTATGATACCATTTAAAAAAAGTTAAGGTAATCGTATAATCCATTTTTTTTTTAAATTTTATTTTTTACATCGTCAAAAATGCTTGAAAAAATTCTAATTAAATGCTAATATAAAGTATATAAATAATTACTCACTCTTTTGTTGGAAAGTTTACCTTGTATATAGAATAAAGAGTGGATCTTCTGCATTCATCCAAACTGGATAACATTTATTCTCAGCTTCTTCCATTTCGTCGTGCCACCAAACATCACGATTATTGTCCCATGCAACTTGAGGAATGTCGTAGTTATATCCATCATTTTTACTGTTCACTCCATTTGTTTTCCCTTTAGCATAAATTTAAAAAAATTACTTTCTATTGTTTCTTCTTTCTTTTTCTTTTTTTTATTTTAATCATCTGCAAAAATTATGATTTCTCAATCTTGAAAAAATTTAATAGAAGAACAATATTTTAACTGTGATATTTTTTATTTATATTAATTATCTTTAGTTATATCTATCTCGATTTTTATGATGTTAATCATTATTAATGATCATTATATAAAAAAAATTTTTTTTCATACCTAATATATCTGATTTAGCATTTTGTGGATTAGTTAATCTTTTTAGATGTGACACTACTATACAACATTCAACCTCATGACCATTCTTTTTAGCCTTATTCAAAGCCTCATTACAAATAGTCTTTAATAATAAAAGTTTCTCGCCTCTCCATACTCCATCAGTCGTAATCAAAATTTTCGATTTTGAATCCAAGATACGTTCTGCTAGTGAATCCGCCGAGTATCCACCAAACTAATTAAATATATGTATAATATTAAAAATTTAAAAAATATCGATTTTGATTAGGTTTATATATATTATATAAGATTATATATATTAAGACATATATATATGTATATTTTTTATTTTGTGTCATACCAATAATTTCTATATTTATAAAGAAACATCAAAACAAATTTTGTTATAATTTTATTATAATAAAAATAAAATAGTAATGTATTATTATTATTGTATATATTTGATAAAATATAAAATAAATATTATTTAAAACTTTTGTTTATATGTATATGTATTACATATATCTATATGACTTGTATATAATTTAATTTATTTTCAATAAAATAATATAAACTTATATGAAGGAATGTTACTTAAATATAAACAAAATATATATTTTATATATTTATAATTTTTTTAATAAAACTAATCATTATATTATTTTTTCATTTTTACTTTTATTAGCATCAATAATTATTTAATAAAAAAAATTATATACCACTACACTGTGAATAGCCCCAATTCGGGTACATGCGAGCATGATGATAGGTAATTCTAAAATCATAGGCATGTAAACGGCGACACGGTCTCCTTTTGTCACTCCTTTCGACTTCAAAACATTTGCACATCTGCATACTTCTTCCAATAATTTTCTGTATGTTAATCGTGAATAATCATCTGGATCATTTCCCTCCCTGAAACAAAATTATACATGTTTATTATTTAATAATTTTGTTATTTATATTTATTTATCATATATTTACAAAAAAAGATTTATAACTCGCAAATTTAAAAAATTTTAAAACTTTCAAAATATGTAATGTATATATAGATATAGAGGTTTATACAATTTTGTTTTATTATCCACATTCATCACAATAACAAAATCCATGAAAATTTTTTTGAGTTATAACTCGCAAATTGTAAGAGATAGACAAAAAGTTTTGAGACAAAAGTTTTTTTAACGAGAATTATCTAATAAAAAATTTATGTTTCACGATAATCTGGAAGAAAAAGAATTTTATATACAAAATGATAATTTTGTTTCACGTATAAAATAATGTTTCGATCATAGAATATTTATAATATTCTTATCTAAAAAGTTAACCAAAGAATTATTTAATGAATATTTAAAATTCATTCAAATTTATTTCTGTTTTGTCATTGGACTGATATATCCATAATATAAAATAATATACTATTTAATTAACATAATAAAATATTTATAATCTTAAAGAAAACGAATGATACAATCATTTGAAATATATATATATAGTTTCTGCATATGAAAAAAGTTTATACGAAAATTATCTGATTTTATAGCATTATACAATTACAATATTAATTTACATGCACAGAATGTAATTATACTTTAATACTTTAATAATACTTTTATTCATACTTTTATTCAATCAATTTTCATCACGAAAATATATATTGTACTTGTATTGTACTTACTTATACATATATATGTATATGTATTGTATTTACTTATACAAATAATGTCCAATAGATTTGGCTTTTTCAAAACAAGATTTCGTACATTTATCTCAATGTTCCATTGTTGTGGATAATAATCATGCTGTACATCATATAATGTACATAGTGTAATAAATTTCTATGTTTTAAACATTTCTTTGATGAATTTCATTAATTGAGAATAATTTATATACTATATATATTTTTTTAAATATATTATTTTGATATTATTAAGTGAGCAAATAAGTTTCTTTTCCTTTTTTTCTACGATCATAACTTCTATCTGAATTCGAATTACTTCCCGTGTGCTATGAAAAAATGTTCTTTTATTTTTAAAAAGAAACATGATGAGCGCTCTAAGAGTTTCCAGTCCTATGCAACAATTTCAAACAATATAGCATGTGAGAAGTATCATTTGCATCACTGCTTACTTTTTGCATTCCAGCTTAGGAAATCAGCTGTGGAATCAGCTACTGAAATGGTTTGTGTTGCATTGGGAGAGAATGCCGTATCTTACAGAACATGCAAAAAGTAGTACCAAAGATTTAAAGCTGGAAATTTTAATTTGGAAAATGACAATCGTTCAAAAACATCGAGAAAGTTTGATGATGGAGAGTTAGAAGAATTGCTCAACGAAAATCCGATTCAGACATAAAAAGAATTGGCAAAAAGATTGGGAATCACCAGACAAGCAGTATCTGACTGAAACAATTGGGTAAAATTCAGAAGTTAAAACGATGAGTCTCACATGAATTAAGTGAAATGAATAAGGAAAACAGACTCGAGATTTCTGCTGTCTTGTTTTCGGCATAAAAGAAAAAGTTTTTTGCATAAAATTATTACTGGCAATGAAAAATAAATCTTAAATGATAATCAAATGACGAAAATTATGGGTTAATCCTGGGGAATTGTCTTCAATGGTAAAACTTGCATTGCAAAAAAATTTTGCTATCTATGTAGTGGGATTTCCGAGAAATCATTCATTATGAATTACTTTCTTTATGTGTTAAGATGGAAAGTCCTATCATATGCGATATATTTTTTAGACCTGACTCCATCAGACTATCATCTTTTTCAAAGTCTGCAACACTAATTGGCGGGAAGCACTTCAACTTGGAAGAAGATATACGAAAATATATTGATGACTTCATAATCACCAAGCAATCGTCATTCTTCAACGATGGAGTTTATAATTTACCCACCAGATGGAAAAAGTTATAAAGGATAAGAGTGAATACATTGAAACGTATTTGATTTATGTAATAAAATCTTGAATTTGGCAAAAAAAAGGGGAAAAAATTTA